AACATTAGCGAATATGCTTGCTTATTAAATGATAATACTCCCCCAAAAATATGATAAAATACCTAATAGGTGAATTTTTTGTATATACCAGGTCGAATACAATTTTAAAAAATTCCGAGCCGGGCCGGGCCTAAAGTTTTTAAACCCGGGCCGTAAAAAATTTTTGAAAAAAAAATCCGGGGCGGGCCGTGCAAATGGTACCTTTGCAGGTCTCTGATTTTTATAAATAAAAAAAATATAGATGACGTTATTAAAAATCATTATATTAATATATTTAATAAAAATATGTATTTTATGGTATTAAAATAAAAAAAATCAAAGTCAACCAATATGATATCCTGGGCGATATGTAAGTAAACAACCTATATGAAAATATTTAATATTTGGTAGCTATATTTAAAATTTTACATACAAAGAAAACAAAAATTACGTCTGTCGCTGTTATAAGATCTACTATCGATATATGATTAATGGGTAGCCATTTCTCTTCTTCAATTGTGGGGTAAAAGAAGGATGGTCCATGAAAATATAAAAAAGAAATATATATTTTTTTGATTTGGACCTTTTTATAGATATTATTCTATATATAGATGATATCATATTATTCCCCAAGAAAATTTATTTTGATCTCAAGATAAAGATGCAGGTTCATATTTTATCTACAAAAAAATGTCTAGGAATAGTTTTTAAGAAATAAAACGATATTTACATCTGGACAACAATTTTGATAAAATGATAATTTAGCGAAATTTAGACTATTTTTAAATATTATTGGTCGAAATTTGCAACAATTTAGGATATACAAGGAAAATTTATATTATGGAAATCAAGATTAAATTAAATATCATATACAAACAATTAATCGATTATACATTATATATTCTAACAAGAAAAACTATATATATTCTCCAACTGGCTACAACACATAAATCGATAAAGAATAGACACTGCCACTGCCACTCATCTTTGGTAATCGATTATTTGAATTGTATTAATGTTAATGTATCTTTTGATCATTTACTTTATATTTAGAAAAAATAATCGTTTCTCTTAAAACCATTCATCGGCCACAGATTGAAGAGACAAAGTGAATTGAATTATGCCTAATGAAGACTTAAAGATAGCTCTAAAGAGAAGCAAAGAAGTAACATATAGCCAAAGTACGATTAAAGATGATGGATTACCAATAAAAAATTTAATATGCCAGAATTCTGTAAATTGAAGGTTAAAATTCAGGACCATGTTTATTATTTGTAACTCATTTTTAAACGATAATCTAGACATCGATTACATAACTTTACTTAATAGTTTGGAGAAAACGATTGATTTTTCGATTAAATTAAAAAGAAATTGTTCACTTTGTAATTTTAAAACGCTGGTTGACGAACTTTTAAAAGACATTTTTATAGATAGCTTCAGTCAAAATATTCAAAGGGTAATATTTCGTTTGAGATGCCGTCCGTCTAGCAATCGCTCTTTCTTCCGCGGGAAAAGAAACCCAGGTGGAAGTGAACAAGATAATAAAATAAAAGCCGAGGCAATATTCCATAAACACTTATTTTAAGAATAATAGTTATAAAATGGTAAAAAATTGAATTGTAATAATAGTTTAATGGTAACAAATCCAAGAATAAAAATTATATTCCAAATAAATATAAGCCTAGTTATAACCCAAACTGTTGCGACAAGGCTAATCATATCTTAAAAGATTGCAGAACACATGCTATAAAGATGATTATGACGCGAACATCTCGCCTTTCGTTTTTAACAACCTACCTAATATGTGAAAATAAATAGTATACTGTTAAAAATGGAATTCGACACTGGCGCTGCCTGCAGTGGTATAGACGAAGTTGCCTGAGCTAGTATTGTAAAACCATTACTTTCGCATGCGTATAAACTTGTAGGTTATAACCATATTAAAAAATAAGATTTGGGTAAATGTACCATATAAGTCGAAGCAAGAAGTTCCATTACCGCTGCATAGAACCGTAGAAACTGAGTTGGACAGGCTCCTAGACGAAGGCGGTATCAAAAAAGTGGATCGCACAACTCTAATCTCGGGCTACGTCTTAAATATCTTAAGGAACCAGTGCCGTGCGAATATGCGGAAATTTTGGTTTAATAATCAACAACATATATTTGGCGAAAGAAAACGATTTACTACCAAGTTGGTAAAAATTTAGAATATTTTATACCTCGACTTATGATACATTTACCCAAAATTTCTATTTTGGTATTATTATAACCAACAAGTTTATAAGCAGGCGAAAGTAATAGTTTGTCAATATGAGTCCAATTTCATCTATCACATTGCAAGCAGCTGTGTTGAATTCCATTGTTAACAGCAATCCATTTATATTCACAGCTATAAGGTGAGGTGTGCACTGCAGAATCATCTGTATAGCATGCATTCTGCAATCTTTTGCGATATGATTAGCCTTGCCGAAACGAAAAAAGATGACGTTTTTTTGTATAAAATTTCATTTATAACTAGGTTTATATTTATTTGGAATATAATTATTATTGAATATGTTACTAAATCTATTATTGAATTTATTATCATTATTATAATTATTCTTAAAATAAGTGTTTTTGGAATATTGTGACGGGTTATGTTTTATTTTATACACTATCTGGGTTTCTGAGCAATCGATAAATGAATGATATCTTCAAACTAATTTTATCTCTGAATATTTTGACCAAAGCTCTTTATCTAACTTAGGCAACCCTACTGCTAAAATAAAAATATCTCTTAAAAGTTTGTCAACTGGCGTTTTAAAATTACAAAGTGAATAAATACTTTTTAATTTAATCGAAAAATCAATAATAGTTTCTCCACCTGTTTCAGCATATAAAAATTATTCCTATGTTGAAAAATACTGCCTATATCCTTAAAAATTTTTTCCAAACTAGTAACGTTATGTAATGTAATCGATCCAAATTATTCGGGTAGTGATAGTTCTAAATAATAATTAAATTTTCAGTACCAATATACGCCAATATCAAATACTTCTTTAATTTAGGGTAAAAGATATTTTTTTTACTTTAAAAATAAGTTCCAAATTATAAACATAGTTCTAGATATTAATCTCCAATTAGTGTTGTCCAAACCTTTGTTCCTTCTACAAGCAAAATATTCAGGCTTGCGTAATATTATTCTGGATGAAATATTGATTTAGCCGTTTTTAAAAAATCGGCTCAACTATCTTCAATTTACATAATTCCGACAGGCGAAATTTTTTTATTGGAAATCCATTCTTTGATTGAACTTTGTCTAGATGTTTGCGCTTCTTCACTTTTCTTAGAGCTATTTTCAAGTCTTCGTTTGGCATAATTTAATTTCCACCGTCTCTTTAACCTGTCGCCAATAAGGTTTTAAAAGAAAGTATGATTTACGAGACGCATTTTTACAATATTCGGAGTTAGTCCAGAATGTAGGGACCTTTTAGTAAATTCGACTCATGTCGATCATCACCGATACCTAGTAATCCCTTTTAGGTTGACTGGCGCATCGATAATATTTCAATGCTTTATGCAAAACCTGTTAAAGGAACCTATGATCAATGTTTTTTAGACGATGTATTGTTGCGAGGATAATTTTGATCATGTAGTTAATTTAGAAGTATTAAGAAAATTTGATAAGGCTGGGCCAACGATGACAGATAAAATTAAAGTTTTGGAAAAGTAAGTTACTTATTTGGGTCATGTTATTCCGACAGAAGATGAGAGGGTTGCCATAAAAAAATAGTAAAACACTGTCAAATGTGAGAATTACGTTCTTCCTTGGAATGGTGAATTACCATGCGTCGTATATACAAAATTTACATTCTATTTGTGCGCCTTTACGCCGACTAACGAATAAAAAATGTTAGTTGGCTTTGATCAGCTGAAGAAAATAAAATATCTAATAAAGTTAAAAATACTTATCAAAAGTAATAATTACTTATCAAAAGTAATAATTACTTACTCATCCTGTCGTTATTTCTTGAAGGTCAATATAAATATTTTATTTTATAAACTTAGAAATGAATACCTCTAAGGCTAATATTTTAAAGATTATAGTTCAGGATATAAGTTATTTGCTTTTTTGAATTAAAATTATCTAGACTAATTATTTTTAAAGCATGTTAGAAAAAATTCATAAAATTTGCAAATTTTAAAAGCTTATAAATTTAGCAAAAACAAATTTAAAAAATCTTTATTTCCATTTTAAAAAAGAAAAATATATGGCGAGACAAACCATTTCCCTTTTTCTTTATAAATAATAACAAAAGAGTTAAAGTTGATGTTCCTAAATTGGTGATTAATTTAAAATTTGGTCAGACTAAAATGCTGAACCAGAATAACGAATAACATCCTAAAAAAATATATAATCTAAATTGATCTAATCCAAAAAATGAATTTACAAACTTTCGAAACTTTATCGAAAAAGAAGAAATAAACTTTTTTAAATAAAACATGTCCAAAATATTTTAAAAATTTATCATAACGATTTCATTAAAATTTTAAAACTTTTCGAATTTTTTGGACATAACCCTAAGTTATTGTTTGATGCAAATTGAAATGAATGCAAATTAAAATATATGTCAATGAAATAATGAATGCGCTCTCCGCGTAGGATAATATTACTAAATAGTGAAGATCACTGTGGGAACTTTAGTTCAGGCCGATAATTACACAGGACAAAATCATGGTCTATCGAAAAATAACAACAGGTCCATTACCAGTCCTATTATTACCGGAAAAAATTTTAAGACAGATTGGGACCTAGGTCCATGGAAAAAAACTTGTCCGTCAATCTGTCCCATCCGATCCCAATTACACTATTGTTAAATAATATCCATGTTAATGTTTAACAATCAATAGAAATAATGAATTTATAAGTAATATGTTTAATCATTTAATACCAACTTATTCGCTGAAAAAATATCGATTTTTCCCTCCTTTCCCAATGCCCTACATTTTAAAAATTATCATCTATTAATGTGTATGAATACCTTGATGATTTCCAAAACGTCGATAACAATGTTAGCGTACCTAAGGCCAACACTTTGTTTTAGTGTCAATCTTCTAAACGATTTGTCGGCATCCTGTTTAAAATATGGAGTAAAAAAATAAAACAATTAATCTATTTTATACAGGTTTAAATAAGTGCCCTCGTTGGCTTTTTTGTTTAGGTAGGGATAGAAAAAATTATATCTACATAAAGAAATATTTCCATTATAATAAATTTTTTAAAAACAATTTTAATCTTTATCAATATAAGAGATCATTTTTTAACAAAATATTGAATGGTAATTATATAATGAATAACTAGGGCAATTTTCTATCCAAAGTCAGAAATATTGTTTTTAATATTTAAGTGATACAATTTATTTTATATTTAAAGGATAAGAAGTGACTTCTTTATATATATTAGAGACCTTCATGGGCCTAGATTTTAGGACCAAGCCCGGTCCAGGCTCATCGTAAAAAAATTTTAAGCCCAGGCCTAGCCCGGCCCGTTTTTAATATTTAAAAAAATTCCCAAGCCCGCTATAATATTTAAAAAATTTCCCAAGCCCGGCCCAAGCCCATAAAATTATTTTATGTATACTTAACTTAGAAGTAATACTAATAGAAATATAATATTATATTTAGTAATAATATATATATATAATATTAATAAATGATATAAACAAAATTTTGATTTATATTTTCAAATTTTATGGTGTATACATTCATAACCTTTATAGTCTATGAAATGATGTCCTTTTTATGTTTTCTAATTAAAATTTTATTTTCAAATATTATAAAAAGTTTACTTGAATATCTATTTGTCTACGTCTAACAATTGTTTTTAAATCTTTGAATTTGACGCTAACTTGGGAAAATATATGTCATATCGAAAATGTTGGCCATCTTTGGGAACATTTTTGGGAATATTCCCTGATTTTCGTTGTTTCGTGCCCAGGCCGTTGTGTTAAGTTAAGTAAAATTATACTAATTTCCGATTTAAAAAATATATACTCTCCCAAGGTGTTTAGGAAATTTGATAACTAACACTAATAGAATCAGAATGATTTGTTATATTTGTCCTATTAAATATCCTTAAAATAAGCTAAATTTGATTTTAAAAATTTAGGCCCAAGCCCTATTGCAAAAATTTCCAACGAACCCAAGCCCGGCCCAGGCCCGCTAGAAAATTTATAATTAAGCCCAAGGCCGACCTATGAAGGTCTCTAATATATATAAAAAAAATCATATTATTTGGGTAAAATTTTGTCAGCTACTAGGACTTGGTCTACACCCTCCTATACCCTTGTCAGTCGTTTCATTCGAATCATCTTCTATCAGTAATCGAAAACTCATTTTTTAATCTAATCAAAAAACAAATGATTCATTACAAAGCGTTATTTAGCTGGTGAGCAAATGTAACAAAGGGAAATGGGATATAGCTAACGTGTCGCGCACCATTGACTATTATCTTCGAGCAAGGAAACTGAGCAGCTAACAAACCTCCGTTCATTGGTTCAAGAGGCATATCCAAGCAAACCAATAAGATCTTAGACAGATGACAAATTAAGAAACGCAATAGCAATCAGACTAAGGATGGAAATATCTCTACATTACATATATCAAGGATGCGAGGCAGAAGTTGAGTAAAAAGCTCCATTGCCTTTTTAATAGATTTTATATAAACATGAAACTAATAATAAAAATATTCAAAAAACACTGTATAGTAATATTCCAACACAGCTTGGATAGTGTAATTTTTCAATCACTACCAACACTACCTATAAGATATAGATTCCATACAAAGGTTAACATACGTGTATAATCCGAAGTATTGTTAAAGTAGATTATACAATGATATATTTTTTTACATTCCCGTAACATTTTATTTTTAGATTTAGTACATTATTTAGTCATTGGTGCAATTAGCAGACTTATTGTGAGTTGATCTTTCTTGTGCATTAGATTGTTATTTGTAATTATATTATGAGATCTACATTAAATGTGATTGTGTTGATTTTACCAAGTATAAAAAGGTGAGAAATTTGTAATTATACATTTATTTTTAATTTTATTTTAAATTCTAATAACCTTCGATAGTAAAATAAAGGACCATAAGATTGATTCATAATTTTTACAAAAGGATTAAAGGTAAAAATTATCAAACTAAATATATTTTAAGCAGGCGCGTACGCAGGAATTTGGTCTGGGGGGGGGATAATAAATTTTTTAGAAAAATATTATTGTTTTAATATCAAGCATAAATTTATTAGGACTAATAACTATTCCTAATACACAATTTTAAATTAATGTGAATTATAAAAAAAATTATATGTAAAGAATCACTTAAATGACCCAAAATAGAAATTTGAATTTTTTGAGCCTTTACACAAAAAGTTTCTTAGGAATAATTGTATTTTGTATGTTATATATTTACAATGTAAAATCCAATCTTCGTTGGAATTGAGCTAATTTTTCAATTATCTCATTCTTGCTTGTCGTCAAATGCCTATGAATATTCAAAAAATCCAAACCTTTCAATCTACTTTCACATGTTGTACCTCTTGGTATGTTTTTCAGAGACCTGCAGGCCCGACTCCTGGGCCGGACAATATTTTAATTTTTTTAATTATACCAAGGCCGGGCCCAAAAATTTTTTTAAAAAACACCCGGGCCGGACCTAAATTTTCTTAAAAAAACACCCAAGCCGGGCTGTTTTTTAAAACAGCCTATATTTGAAATCGTTAATTAGCTATAAAAATAAAAAATAAATATAATTTTATTTTATAAAATCCAGGCCGGGCCTGAAAATTTTATTTTAAAAAAAGCCGGGCCGAGCCTGTAAATTTTAAAAAAAAGCCGAGCGGCCTAAAAATTTTTTTAAAAATAGCGTAAAAAATCTTTAAAAAAAATCCGGGTCGTGCCCTGCAAATGGTACTTCTGCAGGCCTCTGTTATTCTTCTTAAAAAAGAGAGTGTTCTCTCATTAGTTTACTAATGGGAAGAGTTTATAAACCCTTTTAATACATTGGGAATTTAATCTAAAATGTTTTGAAATAATGCAGAGCTACCATAGCATTTTTTGGGACTATATAAACTATAGTTAATCTTATAAACATAGTTATTCAGCTAGTAAGGCATCATAAGATACTTTAATATCTTCATAATAAAAATCTAACAAATATTTTTTTTTTCTATCACCATCTGAAAAAGGTTGAAGGCTTTTGTGGAAGTAATATTTGCAGATGTAAGTGCTGCATGATATATTAAAAATTCATTTATTTGGGTTATAAATGTATCTGCATCTAAGATAAACTCTTCTACTGATCCTATATTAATAATTTAACGATGAGCTTGCCTTGCTGTCGAGGGAGACAAATATTAAACACGTATAGCTCTGCTTTTGACTCAACAATAAAATATAAAATATGAAATTCTTCATCAACATTAGCCCTAATTTCCTTGAGTTCTGATAAAATGCTCTCCGCTATTCTCATCTTCTTAATCAAATCATTGTCATGTTTTTGAAAAGTAATACTTAAAATAGTTGTATAATTAAATAATACATTCTAATGAGAAATAAAATTTGGAATAATTGAATCCAATAATTTTATTGCTTCTGAGGAAATATTTCTTTCAGGCCATTGTAATATTTCAGTAATAGCAAATAATTGGCTATTCTAACTCCTTAATAGCTGTTAGTGCTTGATGGAAGAGGCTCTATCTCGTTGGACAAGGTTGTAATTTCTTTTTCCCTGTTGGACCAGAAGTTTCAGAAATAATTATTATTTGACTAGAAATTTGAAAATGGTAGATAAATATTACGCCACTAAAAATTTGAAAATAATAAGTAAATATTACGCCGGAAAACTTGAAATCAAAATTAATTGATAAAATAACTTATGAATGTGATAATAAATGTAATATAATATATATTTAATATGAGATACGAATAAATATTAACAAATATAAATTAATATATACAATAATATTTTTGAAAAATATATCCGGCATCTGCATTTTTTGGCTTTGGGGGGGGGGGGGATTTGTCCCCCTGTCCCCCCCGCTGCGTACGCCAATGATTTTAAGTGTGAAACATAAAGTTTAATAGGCGGCAAGACATGCAATAATAATATTGGGACATGTAACATTTTTTCCCCTTTTCATAACAATTAAGATCATAGATACTGCCATATAAAAAATTTATAATTATTCTTCTATTTTTAAAAATTACATTTATTTTTTAAAACGCTCTTATTTGCTAATTATTTTTTATATATTTTAGTATTTTAACGTTATAATTTTCTTATATATTTGAAAAATAAGTTAAAATTTTTTTTAATGGTTTCCTAACGTTTTATTTGATAGCATTTTACTTATCTAGTAATATCATTTTTAACTTGTGAGGTTTAATTAAATCTTACATTGTAATAATACTAAAAATAAAATTTTTATTATTTTATGAGAAAATATTTGTGATATTTATATAAGTGATCCAAAAAATAGGAAATTTCCCAATCTCCCCTTAATATAAAAATATTACATTTTATGGAAAAAACAATTAATTTAAATTATCATATTTTACATTTAATCTTATCATTATTTTATTAATGCATTTCTTCCTTTATACAGGGAATTAAAGCAATTGTTCAATTAAATTTAAAATATCCCCAAAAATATATAACAAGGAGCATACTGTATTATTGGTATTATTTATCTATATTCGTTTCGAAAAATTAATTTAGACCCTTTTCAGGGTATAGTTACACTGGACAGAGCTCTGTTTGGTTACAAGCTATTAGGACTAGATCATTCTCGTACCGGATTTCCTATAACCTTATAATTATCTCTAGCAATGGTGTAATTTATTATGTTGAAGAGTAAAAGACTCAACACAGAGCCATGATGAAAACTTACCTTGATGATAAGGGACAGTCTGGAATTGGAATCTTGGATCAATGCCACCATTGATGTCAAGAAAGTTAATGATAGAATAAGAATAGTAATAATCAAACTTGTTATTAAAGAGAGTTTTATCCATATTTTATCCTGTATGCCTCATAAATGCTATTCCACCTATTGAATTAGCATTTTTAAAGGTAAATTAAAACGGTCATGTAGAATTTTGCGGAGGATTTAACCTAGAACGTCAGAGTCGCAAATGTATATTGGAACTTATGACTCAGTAAAGTTCATTAAAAAAGATATGAACAGTTATTGGCATATTAATAGGTAGTTGACTATATACTACTAAAATGTATGTGTCAAAAGCATAAGATCTTTTGCAGGTGTGGGTTGCATTTCTCTATATAAATGTAACCCTACATTATTACGTTCCCTTACTAAACCAGAGTAAGGTACTATTTTAAATCAGGCATTACAATATGGAGATAAAAGGATGAACAATACAAATCCGCCTTTTACAATAGTTATGAATACTCAAGCAATTGAGGATAATTAAGTAAATTTGAGAATATCATTACGATTGCACAAAAACCACTTGCGACATGACCAGTGGCCCCTACAACGGTAAGGGTCCAAAGATATTGCTTCCAAAAATTTGAGTGGAGATACTTTAAAAAATTTTTTTTTAAATTTAATTCTTTTATGGTTTTACTACACCCATCCATAACCAAATGATTTCTGGTTTATGATATCGGACTCCACCTCGCGATTCCGTTAATAAATATTAAATTAATTAATAAGTGTGGGGGGGGGGGTGTCGTTATTAATTATATTTTAATAAATTTGGTCTATGTATAGCCAATTAGGATGTTATCCGAGATTTCTTGTCATAAAATTATTTTTCCAATTTCAAAAGCCCAAAAATATTAACCAAAAAAAATACAAATGCTTAATTTATAATTGCGCATGTCATAATATAAGAGATGATAAATGGATGGACCATATTAGAAAAAGACATGGTGGGCTTAATTTTAACGATATAAAGAAAAGTTTTTAAATAGTAGCTTTTAAGTATATTTCTCAAAATTTGACGATTAGCAAAGTATTTTTTTAATTAGATAATTAATTGTTTATACTTATCTTATAAGATGGAGGGGAAATGTAATTATTACACGTGTCTTTAGAGGTTAAAGAATCTAAAGATTAAATTTATTTAATTAAACTACCTTTGCTAATATATTATTTAGCTTCTTCTTTGATGATAATTCTGAGACTTATGATTCAGATTGAAAAAACTAGGGATGTACCGATATTTTTTATCGGATCGGGCCGATATTTCACCCATTTTTAAAAAAAGTTATCTAAAATCCATTTATTTTTATAAATAAAATCGAAATTCATTTTTATGCTTAATTTTTTAATAATAATAAATAATTAATAAACATTCTGCTATATTGCGCATTCTCTTTATAGCGATAATCTCTTCAGAATCTGTTTTTAGTGAAATTGATAGTCGCCATCTCCGCAGACTGACCTCTGATAAATTTGAAAATTTATTTCAAATATATTTGTTTATTACTTATTATGTAAATAGATTAATGTTATTACTTATTATATAAATAAGTGATTTATCAATAAAAATATATTATATACTATTAGAATTGTAATTGAATTGAATATAAACTATAACTGATCATTATAAAATGTTTAAATGACATACGTTATAGTATAGTTAAATTATAGATGTTATACTAATAAAAAGTATATTAAAAATTAAAACCATTGGTATCTTTACAGAATACAAAATTATATATGATATCCGATAGTTAATCGCCCGATATCAATTTAATATCAGGAATATCGGATTGACCTCCAAAAAGTGGTATCGGTTCACCCCTAGAAAAAATCTTTCGTTTATTTTACCTTATCGTCTACTTTAAAAATTTTCTGTTTTCCCTAATTTAACAATATATATAAATATTTATTAACCATTCCTAATATCTCATGTACCGGAAGGGTTATGAGTAAAATTAATTTAATTAAAACAAGACTTCGTAGTAATTAAATATCCATTTCTTAATAATTTAACCATTTTATCAATGGAAAAAATTTATTTAAACAATTAAAAAAAATAATATTAGCATATATATTTTTTTTTACATTTAATTTATATTATATATTAAAGATTGATGCAATAGAAATTATTTTTGAAATTTATGGGTGTGAAAAAATAATTAACCATTTTTTTCAAATGGTGGGGGGGGGGGTAGTTTCAGGGGGTTATTCTGCTTTCGTCGCTCAGAAAATGTAGGGGCCACTTGGCATGACTAAAGGGTCTAAACGAGGACCCTTCTAGTTTTATTGACAAGGCAGAAATTGTGAAGGCTTTAAAAAATATGAAACATGGTATGGCGGCTGGTATTATATTCCGCAACTGAGAGTAGAGTGGTGGTCTAATTTCATCAATGCAGTCATTCATAGCGGAGGGATTAGGAAAATATCATAACAATTCCTATTTTTAAGGGAAAGGCTGCCCTATTAATAGCGGTTCTTTTCGTGCAATAAAATTACTATACTATGAAACTTTTTGAAACGGTGATTGAAAAAAGGTAATAGTTTGTGGTAAATATAGATGAGATGCAATTCAAGCTCATGACAGATGACAACCGATGCTATATTTAAGGTAGCTAATAGCAGGAAAAAAGCCAAGCTAAAGATAACCCGTTATATTTATGTTTAATGATTTAGAAAAGGTGTTTGATAAGATGCCTTGAGATTTAATACAATGGGTGCTTGGTAAAAGTGGTGTCGGTGAGTTTAAACAATTATTTCTTTTTACAAATCATACATTTAAGATATTCTAGTAGGTGAAATGCAGAATTTAGAAATCAATGAAGGCTTGTAATTATTTTCAATAAAAAAAGAGTATCAATATTGATATTAAATTAATAGTATATGTGTATAATATGTAAATCCTAATATATAATATCCCATTTCTTTACAAAAAAAGCGCCCCTTCTTGGTCACCTCAAGTAAAAAATTAATTTAAAAGTTTAAAATAATAAATTTAATAGTTAAAATGTTATAAGAAATATCACAAAAGCAAGCCTATTAATAACTAGCTTGCATAATTTTGGTAATAAAAAGAATAAACGACTACTAAATAATTTGTTTAACCAAAAAAAGTTGAAAATTTTAAATTTTAAATTTCGCATTTTAAATATTAATAAACATTCTTAAAATCCGAGCGCTCGATATAGATATTAGCCCCAAAACGAACCACATGACTACCACGCGATTGGTCGACTGGGAAATCGGGAACGTTCAATTCCAACCAACCAGAGCTGTCTTTTGAAGCTTCGAAAGGGAAAAGGGTTTTGATTTCGTCCCAATTCACTATGGTCACTTTAAGGGGTTCTAGAACGACCATAGCTCTGTTTTTTTTGAAACATGAATATTAGAAAATAACGTACTCAACATACATCACTTTACGATTCAAAAATATATTAGAAATTTAAATTAGTATATAATTTATGTTGAAAATAAAAATCTATAACCTTTTAGCTGTATAATTGAGCTCGTCCCTAACAAATGACTCTAACATTTCGATGTCCACATTAGTTAGAGCGGTAGTGACCCCAAGGGAAAGGCAAAACTTGTTAATAGCAGACGGAGGGTAGCCTCTACGTTTGAGGGCAGTGAGAGTATATAATCGGGGATCGTCCCAATCCCTTTACAAGATTATTTAATAGGGATTGAATAGTTTAATTTATTTAACAAATTATTTATATCTCGTTTTTTTATTTTATTATTAGTGTTTAAATATTCCCATCCACACAATCACCAATTAAACAATTTAGATACAATTTCCAAGTATTTATCTCGAGTTTTAATCTTCAAATGCTAGATGTAATCCTATTGGCTCTTTTTTAAAGGATGAAAATTCCAAACTATTAGTTGAAGTTAATTTAAAAAGTATAAATTTTATAGAGTCAACTTATTTTTAAATTATAAGATACAATTTGAGACAATATTCATTTTCACATTTCTTGAAATAGGCAAAAATATAACAAAAACCCCCAAAATTAAATTTTTTTATAAAACTTTTTTGTTTCTTTCCCATTTATGGACAAATGAGTAATAAAAAAATAAAGCGAGAGGTGTTCCTGTACCGAGAAAGTATATAGTCCTTGTTAAATATGTAAAAATTTTATAACCTTAAAAAATTTACTTTTGTACTTTTCTTTTTCTATATGTAAAAACTTTTAATTGTTCTTTTCTTATTTAACCTTAAAAAAATAAATTGTTTTATTTTTGTAGATAGTTAAATTTTGTACACTATATATATCGAATGAAATTTTGTAAATTTGTAATATATATAATTTAGATAAACAAAAAAAAGTAATTTAATTTATTGTTTTTTTCACTTGCCTTTCTTGTGTTATCAGTCCTCTATTCGTACTCCCAACAAACAATTTAAATTAGATATTATTTAGGTTTTAAAGAATACACTTGACAACTTTTATAGATAAAAAATATTATTTTGGGGAAAAAATATAAAATAAAAGATTTTAATAAAGTGAAAAAAAGTTGATTTAAGAATTAGTACAATTTGTAATTATCAAAATTACCAAATGATAGTTCGTTTTCAAAACATTATGATAGTATTACATTATTAAGCAAAAAAAACAATTGATTTTTATGTTCCTTACGTAAGGCAACATCTATATCAATATCTTTGGCTGTGGTATTAAATGTGTTATGTAATGGTTTTTATTTTTAAAAAATCAGAGATCTGCAGGTAAAGAAAGCTGACCAGCAAAATTAATATGGTTAAAACCTAGGCCCAAGAACAATAGCTTACAAACCCTAGACTGTTTTTATAAATTTAAACCCGGTTAAAAACTAGGAGGTGGATCATTCAAGCATTTATTTAATTCTCATTTTCAAAAGTCCCATATATAATAGCTTTTGATATAAAATTATAAATATAACGATTCTATAAAGGCCCTGTTAAGCCGTACATTCCTAAGATAACTTTAAAAGTTTTTAAAAAAAACTTGACAACTCCGGCCTCTATGAGCTTCGCTATTTTCCTTTTCGAGACGACGGAATGAGTCATGTTGAGCCTACCATACTCCCATTGCACTGGGCAGTATAGATCGAGAGCGTTGCAGAGCCAATAATAGGAGGAACGGCGAGATTGGAATTCCTTAGTGCAGAGGGAGTGAGTTATATCCTCAAAACAGTCGCAAAGACAGTGTGTGAAATCGTAGGTTGGATAGATGCACCTGTTTAAAGAAAAGAGAAATGTAATAAACATCACTAATTGAAAAGATGGATGATGGGGTGCGTGTAGAAATATTTTTATAATATTAATCTTCATTCTCCACCTTCCATATGGATCTTCCACCCAAATAACAAAATTATCCAATTAGACCAGATTAATAATAAATACCAATACAAAATTTTTTTTAATGCTCCTCGCGGCCCATTCATTTATCCATATAATTAAAATTTAAATCCCAATCCCTACTCAAAACGTCACATATCTATTTAGTCAAAATGAAAAACGATCCTACATAAAAACATTATCTTTTTGACCACTTCTACTGCTTCAAACAGAGATGGACACAATTAAGCAAAAAAGTAATTAATTTTAATTACTAATCTTTATCTAAAAACGGTAATCTAATAACATGTAATCGTGATGATACAGAGTATTTATAATTACAAAATTACAATTCCTTTTCATCCCAATTAGTAAAATAAAAAATTAATCATAAAAGAAAGACTTCATTAATTGGCATATAATATAATTATATTTAATTCTTTATTACAATTTGTTTTCAATGTTTGAAAAATATAAAGGTTTTGCACGTTAAAATTACAATACAATATAAAACATTTGCATATAAATTATTATGAACATTATATTTATATATATGATGTTAACAACTGAAATCAAATTCTGTGTTACAAAATGGAATATCATCAATGATGTCTAAATAGGTATTATGAACGTAAACATATGTTGATATCACATATTTTAACATTGTATCTTCGAGGTATTTAATATAAATCAATGGCGTATTTTAACTCTTTATTTATTTCATTTTATAATTATTATTTATATATATCTTTTCTTTAACAATAGAACATAATCATAACTAGTGTTGTTAAACGGCTCGATTTGAGCCGATTTTTAAAAACGGCTAACTCAACATTATAGCCAGGAAAATATTGCCTAAGCATCGAGATCTTGCCAATAGATGTTCAATACTATGTGCCATCTATGAGCAAAACCTTTAGGCTTGCATAATATTATTATGGATAAAATATTGAGTTTGCCGTTTTTAAAAATCGGCTCAAATTGAGCCGTTTAATAACACTAATCATAACGTCACGAAACTATATTTTTAAAACTATTAAATATTAGGGCTGTGCCGATCCATATATTTTTCACCGATCCGATATTTATATTGATTTTTCATCACCCCCGAACCAAATGTAATTAAAAAATCATATTTTTTATGCAAAAAAACGAATTATGCATTTAATTTAATTTTTTTATTTCTACAATAATTAAAAAAAGTTTACGGATATTTAAATAATTTTTTCATTATTCCTCCCGGTGAAGTTAGAATTCCGCAGAAAACGCATTTTGTAAAATTATCTTTATCTTTTGTAAAATCATAATTCAGATACCATATTAAAAAAAATTCTTTTATTTAAAATTTGAACGTTGGTCATAGACCTGCCCAAAGGTGACCATACGTGAATTATATGAACCTTATATAATTATGCCGATTATTTTTCTCAGGGATACCAACAAACCTTGTAACCAAGATATGAGGTTATATGAGGGTGGAACTACATCCGAGCCATAATGCGTATAACAAAGAAAGAAGTAGAATATAAGAATAAAAAATAAAGGTCCTTCTTCCAAAAAACTTATACATTTTAATAATTATTTTAATTTAAAATTTAGTTATAAATTTGTAAATATTAAATTATAAATAATAAATTGGCGTTATTATTTAAAAAGATTAAAAATAAATAAAACTTTGGGGATTCCTTTCTATTTTTATAAAAAAAACTTTTAAAATACGATAAATCTATTTTTAAAATAAATAAAATTTAAGGGGTGTTGTGCATTTGCATTGTTTAAAAAAAAATTATTTAGAAAATATTATTAATGTAAAATATACATAAAATAACAAAAAAAAGAAAAATAAAAGATCGGATCGGGTTTTTACAGGTATTGGCTCAATCCGATATTTTGGAAAACGCTAAATATCGGTGCTAAGTTAAATTATGAGCGATAAAAAATAACGCGTTAAAATAATAAAACTTAATTTAAGGTAAAAATAAAATTTAACTTGAAAATTAAGTAAAATAATTAGAAAAATTAAAACGCGCGATTGATTTATAATACAATAGCTTGAAGGTACAATATTAAAAATATGTAATATCACTTTGTTCCCCCAAAAAGAACTGTCATGAAAATTTTGCTCGACTGTTTCATGTTGATTATCGGAATTAAATTTTCCTTGATAGATTCCACGTATAGCTTTGTTGTGTCATTCGTCTGTAGGCATCGTATGTGATTTTTGTAGTCATGTATAAAATTTTGGACTGCATCAAGTTAATGTTATATCGCATCTTGTTGCTTGATATTATTCATATTATAGTTACCATGATCCGTAATCATAATCATTTTGTAGAGTAATTTCCAGGCGTTGAAAAAAATAATAATTTATATAAAACATATGAGCGCGGGTTACAAAGAAATATATAAACATATTGTGGTGGAATTAATATCGTCGTTCAATGCCCTTTATTATGAATTCCTAGTTAAGATTAACGATCATAGACTAAGTTACTTCTCATTAATATTTGCTTAAAATACTGAATTTGTTTTGCAATCAAACTTTAAAAAATCCGAAAATTAATCTTATATTAAATCGGATAATTGAACATAGACGTAGGGAAGAGTTTTGCAGTTATAATAAAATTTATTAAGTATGAAATAATATTGGCACTAGCTTTCCGTAATAAGAATCCTTTCCCCTCTATAAATGCTGGAAAACATTTCTAAATCAAATGGATATTTAAAATTTTATAAACTCGGTATTTCAAAACAAAATTTAATGGGATTATAAACATATTATAAAAGATGCAAATGAGTTTACTGAAAATGAGGAATGTGATTTGGAGTCACTTTATCACGCGTCACTTTATCACGACGACATTTTATCACGGCGACAATTTATCATAAGGAAACTTTATCAGTGTCTTTTTATCTTGAGACACTTTATCACGAGACCACTTAAAAATTAAAAAATATTTTTTTATTGTAAATTTATATATTTATAGGGCAACGAAATAATTTTGCAGCACCTCTCTATAATGTAAAATTATGGAACAAATACAATTCAACGTTAGAAGGTATCGCCCGAACAACAAATTGTGTTAAAGGGTGACATTATGGAATTCAATACCTATACCAATGTTCTCACCAAACGCTTTGGAAATTTTTACATGGGATTCAAAAAGATATGCAAAAACATAAGGCCCTATATCTTATAATGGGAACAACACAGTCCCTCTCAAATAAATATAAAGATGTTAAATAAAAATGATTTCATATATGTGTTTCGAATTATGGATCAACGGAAATTGGATTTTAAATATAAAATAAATGGAATGGTGCTTTTCTATATAAAATTATAAAATAAATCTTCGTAAATAGATTATAAAATGTTTTTTTTGTCCAAATAAATTAGTTGAATTTCAAAAATTTAAACTTTTATGAAAAAAAAAATATTGGAGCATAGTGTTGTTAAACGGCTTTGATAATTAAATTTAAAAAAAAATTAAATTTATGAAAATTAAAATATGAGTTTTTTTAAATAAAAAAAATTAATTTAAATTTTTTAAAAATCGAAATTTAAAAGGAAAGTCAAAAAATGAAATATTATCAAAATTTATTTAAGTATATCATGATAAAGTGTCGCCGTGATAAAGTGTCGCGTGATAAAATATCGCTAGGAGGAGGAATGTATATGGTATTTATTGTATTAATGATATAGTCACGACTTTTCCATGAGGGTAATATTTTCTAGGAATAATTTTTCAAACAATTGGCTTTAGATCTTATGATTAATAATATTAAATTTCTTTTCGACATCAATATACAATTCCACCCTGTAATACAAAGCGCAGGTAACAAAGATTCAAAAATAACTTTCATTATTTCAGTTGATTTGGGTCTATGAGCCATTTCATACTTTTCCATACATAACTATTGTTGACCCATAAATTCTTGATAAATTTGTATTTTATATTATTTAATCTACTGATATCACTATTTGCGATGATTAAGCTCAATGTGTGACAAGAACACTATCGGTGATTGTTGACTATTAGTGATTTGTTTTAAAATGATTAAATTAAGATAACAAAGAATGTTCACTTTAAAAGAACAAGATTAGAAACAATATAAAACGTACTTTTTTATATCTTTTGGAAATTTACTAGTGATTACAGAGTGCACACGTATGTGGTTTTATGATTTTCATGTTATTTGAAAAAAAATTTGACTGAGTATCGATAATTTCGATTTATTTTGGTCAATGTGAGATTGAATTAGAAGAGTAATTAGAGTTATCATCAGAGTCCAAAAGAAAAGTTAAAAATTCAGAATCACTTATTATATATCGTTAAAAATTATAAAATAAGAATGTTGAAATTATTAATAGTTTTAAATTTTTAAAAAAAATACGAATGAATGATTGCAATTATTAAACGTTTCAAAGAAATTTTAAATATAATTACTAATTCCTAATTATTGGCTTAAAAAATAAAATTAATTATGTCTAATAATTGCATTCATTCATATTATTATAAGATTCAGGACTAACAACAAAGTAATTTTGTTTAACGGTGAGAATGATAAAGAAAACAGGAATGAAATTCATTTAATGGCAATATTCGATAGCAATTTGGTAAAATAAATATTAATTTAATATTCCCCTTTTAAAAAATTTATAGATGATTTTATTAACAATAGATTCTCCCATATCATCTGAGATGTTCTTGTCACACATTGAGTTTAATTGTGAAAAATGATATCAAAAGTATATTAAATGATAAAAATAGAATTTATGAAATAACATTGGTTATATGAGGATAACTATGGCTGAAATAATGAAAGATATTTTGGGATCTATATTAGAGTTCTGCACGGGATGTCCGTTGCCGGACCCGACACGAGCTCGGACATAAAAGATTTTTTGGACTCGGGTTGCAAGAGGAGTCGGACACGTTATAAATATAAATATCCTAAATAATCATTTTAATTCATAAATATCTAACACATTTCATCATTAAAATGTCAATCAGAATAACATGTCATTATCAATTATTATTTTTCATAACATCCGTTTACCATACTATTTTGTTATTATATTTTTGTGTTATTATTATATACTTTATTAACATCATATTCTATGAGGTTAATTATAAAATATATATCTAATATCTATTTAATTAAATAGCCTCAATTTTTTCAATATTTAAAATCGTTTACCAAATTTTAAATTGGTGGAAGACTTATCAAAACGACTTTCCCAATGTAAGTGTTTTGGCTCTTAAATTCCTGACTATCCCTGCTTCCTCGGCTAGCAGTAAAAGAGCGCTACTAGCGGCTGGTAGGGCCTTTGAAGATAGGAGGTTGTTTAAAGACTGATAAACTCGACTACTCATTATTTATGAGTTACAATAATTCACAATATGATACCATAATGATAATGATAAATCTATATAATATGAGCATTATATCATGCACATTATTTTTATATAATCGCAATAATTTTTTAAATTAGATTGTATTTCAACTTTTTAATATTTAAACTGAATAAAAGGTATATGTTTCCAATTTATTAAAATGCAACTTAATATAAATATTGATTATATTACGGGGGTCAAATAAACTTTTATTTACGGTAATAAACATAGTTTTTAATTGTTTTTTGGATATTATAATATTCACACTCAAATTTAAAAAAATTTAGTCAGGTTCGGGTTTTTTTATTCGGGATCGAGTTGTGAAAAAAGATCACTTTGCAGACTTCTATTCTCTATTGTCTTTGCCTTGTGTTACAAAGTGGAATTCGAAGTATATACCTTGATATGATGTAAAATTAATACAATATTCGAGAACAGTTGTTTAGACAATTTGAGTTCTGCAAAAAATATATTACCAATCGTATTTAGTTCGGTGATGGGGTACAAATTTAATTCTATAAGCCACGGGATCAATTTTTCCTTCCTCGAGGGTCACTTTCATTCTCAACGTTGCCATACCTTCTTCTATTTTGCCTTTTTTCATGTCCTTATACGATATAATAATGAATACCGAATATTAAAAATGAACATTTCATATGATGCCCAAATTTTATTAATGTAGTAAAATTCACTAGCTGATTATTGATTAATATTTACTTTATAACTCCAGATTAAATATAAATGAGAAATCCAAGTATTTTAAATATTTTAATATAAAAATAGCGAAATAATCTTCAAACAATTTCATAGAAATAAAATAACTAAGGTATAGCTAGAATTTTTCCAAGGAAAGGAAGGGGATCAATATAAGGTGGTTTGTACCCTTATTATGTTGAGTTCTTTAGATCCACTTATTGCATGCCTTTGGCTATATTACATTTTTCAAAAATACTTTTGTTTTTTTTTACTTTTTATAAAAATGTTTTCACTAAAAATCTTGAATAATAATCATTAGTTTATAAATTATTAACTTTTACATAGTTTAGGTTGTGGGGGAAAGTGGGGTGTAGGGGAAACGTTCCCTCATTGTGCCTATGAAAATTATTAATAAATATATTGATATCAACAATTAGACTGAATATTGTATAAAGGTAATATTCCATTTCAAATCGATCAAGATTCTCCTTAACCCTTGGAATTTTAATAAAATGTTGTATGCCAACTAAGGTGCACGTAACTAAAGCAATTTTCAAATTTTAGGATCTTAGCCCTTATTATTTGGATAGCAAGGGTGAAAATTACCTATTTGCGTTAACAGGAATCTGTTATCATTCAATTAATTTATTAGAAATTAGAGAATTATAAATACTATTCTAACTAATATCAAAATAAAATGTAATTCTATTTATTTAATAATTAATGAATATTAATAGAATGTATTTATATGATCTTATTTATAATAGTAAAAAAATCTATCTGTAGCACATATTTAGGCAAGATTTTTAAAAAATTGTGAGATTGGATGATTTCAAAAATATTTTTGGGCAATATAGCATAATACATGTAAATTACTGTTTTTGAATATTTTCTTTCGAACAAAAATTAAATAATTACATAAATATGTGATGTAGAGTTTCTATAATATCAATATTTTAAATGATAAAACAAATATATATCACTAGCTGATAGCGGTTCCATATCAAGTCAGCTAAACTTTTATCTCGAAACTTTTATTGCGAATGTCGTTTATCGCGAATGAATTTTATAGCGAAACTTTTATCGCGAATCCACATTAGCGAATATTTTTCCGCGAAAACAATATAGCGAAGCAAATATCGCGAATTTTTTATAGCGAAACTCTTATAGCGAAACCTTTAAAGCGAATACATTAGAGCGAAATTTTTATCGCGAATCAATAATCGCGAAAATTTTTACAGCGAAGTAAATATCGCGAAACATAAATCGATAAAACAATATAGCGAAAACTATTTCGCGAAATATAACGCGGTCTATTATTATTTATTTTTTTTTATTAAAATAATTTATTTTATTTATATTTAATGTTAATATTTTATTTATCAACAAATAAACATATTATGATATATATTTTTTATTTATATTATTATATTATGAAATGAAAAATGATTTCTTTTATTTGATATTTTTAATAAAAAAATGATATGCTACTATTGTAATATTATTTTTGTTACAATTTATTAGTGATTTTTACACGCCCAAAATTTTTAGCAAAAAATATTTTTTGAAGTTCAAAAAGATTTTTAAACATATTTTGATAAAAATTTTAAATCTTTTTTGAGGAATTCTTTTGTGAATTTTATTATAAATAAACAATCTTTTATAGTTTTTTTATCGTTTTTGTAAAATTATCTATTTTTTTAGTAATTAAAAGAGGTGGGTTTTCTAAATAATATTTTTTAAAATTTTTTTTATTTAACTTTATTATGTACATGATCTTTTTAAGGATAATAATTTAATCTGACAATTTTTATATTCGTTATGGAAGATGTTCCTTGGAAAAATGACAATGATTATAATCGGTATTTTTAAACATATTAGATTTTTTTTACGGAAAAATATGTATTTTTAACATGTTAAATTAAAATTTTAATTAAGATGCACCTAATAAAAGTGACAATTATCATAATTGTTATTTTTAAAGTTTTTTGACGTAAATCAATTAAAATAAGTATTGTTAACATGTATTAATAAAACTTCAGTGAAGATGTACCCTAGATAAGTGACAATTGTCATAATCCTTATTTTTAAAGTTTTTTGATGCAAATGGGTAAAAATATAGATTGTAAAACTTGTTAAATTAAAATTTCATGAAGATGTACTAAATAAAAGTGACAATTGTAATAATCGTTATTTTTAAACTTTTTTTGACGTATATGGGCCAAAATAAGTATTGAAAACATGTTTAATAACTTCAGTGAAGATGTATACCTAAGATAAGTGACAATGTCATAATCATTTTTAAAGTTTTTGGAATTTTTTTGACGCAAATAGGCAAAAAATAAATTGCTAACATGTTTAAATAAAACTTCAGTGAAGATGTACTATAGATAAGTGACAATAGTCATAATCGTTATTTTTAAAGTTTTTCAATTGTTTGAAGCAAATGGGCAAATAGAAAATGATAACATGTTAAAATAAAATATCTATGAAGATGTACCATAGATAAGTGACAATTGTCATAATCGCTGTTTTTAAAGTTTTTTGATACAAAAGGGTAAAAAAATAGATTGTAAAAATGTCAAATTAAAATTTCATGAAGATGTAAATATAAAAGTGACAATTATCATAATCGTTATTTTTAAATTTTACATTTTTTTGAAGCAAATGGACTAAAATATAAATTGCTAACATGTTAAAATAATATTTCAGTGAAGATGTACCCTAGATAAGTGACAATAGTCATAATCGTTATTTTTAAAGTTTTTGAATTGTTTGACGCAGTTGGACAAAAATATAAATTGTTAACATGTTAAAATAAAATTTCAGTCCAAACAAAAGAACAAATCGATATTTTCATTCTCATAATCGTTGTTCCTTTTATCCTGCTTAAAATTTGATAAAAATATACAAAGTGATTATTAAAGATAGTTGTAACCTATGTTAAATTCTAAACTTTTAAGATATGGATTCACAATCTTATTCCTTTAATTAATAAATTTTAATTCTACAATATAAAAATGTGTAACATTGCATTCACAGTTAGCAAATATTTTTGTATACTAGTGGCAAAATAGTGGCGAGTCTGATTTCAGGGTAGGATTTTTATAGAAAGAACTTAAAAACCATATGAATATTATTTAGTAATATGATACAATCAACATCCTATAAATTTAATGTTAAGATTTTATTATGGATAAAATGGATTAAAATCTATACTTTAACCCATTAACATCAAAGAACTTTAAAAATAATGATTATAAAAATTGTCACATTTCAATGGTATATCTTCATGAAATTTTAATTTAGCATGTTTACAATCTATATTTTAACCCATTTGCAACAAAAATATTGAAAAAACCTTATTAACAATGATTATGACAATTGTAACTTATCTATGGTTCATCTTCACTGAAATTTTATTTTAACATGTAAGCAATTTATATTTTTGCACATGTGCGTCTAAAAAAATCAAATAATATTAAAAATAACGATTATGACAATTGTCACTTTTCTATGGTACATCTTTATGAAATTTTAATTTAACATGTTTACAATCTATATTTTTACCCATTTGCGTCAAAAAAATTCAAAAAACTTTAAAAATAACGATTATGACAATTGTCACTTATCTAGGGTACATATTCACTGAAGTTTTATTTAAATGTTATCAAAACTTATTTTGGCCCATTTACGTCAAAAAAAGTTTAAAAATAATGATTATGATAATTGTCATTTATCTAAGGTACATCTTCACTGAAGTTTTATTTAAACATGCTAGCAATATTTATTCTAACCCATTTTGGTCAAAAAAATTCAAAAAACTTTAAAAATAACGATTATGAAAATTGTCACTTTTCAATGGTACATCTTCATGAAATTTTAATTTAGCATGTTTACAATCTATACATTTAGCCCATTGACTTCAAAAAAATTCAAAAAATTTATAAAATAATGATTATGACAATTTTCACTTTTCTATGGTACATCTTCATTAAATTTTTTTAACATGTTTACAATCTATATTTTTACCCATTTACGTTAAAAAAATTGAAAAATAATGATTATGATAATTGTCACTTATTTAGGGTATATCTTCACTGAAGTTTTATTTATACAAGCAATATTTATTTGAACGTATTTTGGTCAAAATAATCAAAAAACTTTAAAAATAACGATTATGACAATTGTCACTTTTCAATGGTACATCTTCACTGAAATTTTATTTTAACATGTTTACAATCTATATTTTTACCCATTTGCAACAAAAAAAATTTAAAAAACTTTATAAACAACGATTATGACAATTTTAACTTATATCTATGGTACATCTTCACTGAAATTTTATTTTAACATGTAACAACTTATATTTTTGCCCATTTACGTCAAAAAGTTGTAAAAAAAACTTTAAAAATAATGATTATGACTATTGTCGCTTTTATATGGTACATCCTAATTGAAATTATAATTTAACATGTTAAAAATAAAAATACCAATTATGATAATTGCCATATTTCCAAGGAACATCTTCATTGAATTTATAATTTAACATCTTTTCAATATAAATGATATTTTTACCCATTTGAGTCAAAAAATTTCAAAAATCTTAAAAATAACGAATATGACAATTGTCACATTAAAATATTATCCTTAAAAAGATCTTAAAATAACATAAATAAGTTAAATATAAATATTTAAAAAAAATTATTTAGCCACCTCTTTTAATATACATAAGAAACAGATAATTTTTCAAAAATGATAAAAAAAACTATAAAAGATCTCACCTAAAAATTGTTTATTTATAATAAATTTCACAAAAGAATTCCTCAAAAAAGATATATTTACAAGGAAGATTTAAAATTTTATCATAATATGTTCAAAAATCTTTTTGAACTTCAAGAAATATTTTTT